AATCAACTGGTTTTCCTTGATAGAAAACTTTGAATCAATTTCACTGGATGATCTGTTGAACTGTAAAGTGCCTTGAGATGACTTGTGTTGTGAATTGGCGCTATATAAATAAACTAAACTGAATTGAAGCAGTTCTCCAGCATCTTTCTGCCACTCCCAATATTTATACTTGTGCTCCCAAACTTTCCAGAGCAGAATTTTCCTCACGGATCAAGATCTATTATCCCTTATAATCTTCAAGATTTTCATGGCGGATTTGTTAAACCTGTTGCGACAAGAAACCAGATGCAATTGAAGGGGAGAAAAAAAGAAGACAGAAAGCAGGAACACCCTACCACATTCTTGGGCAGCTTGTGACCTGGCAGATATTTCATATTTTCATGCTCAGTGTTGATGATCTCTGTGAGCTTCTTGCCATCAATGATCTCCTCATAGACCCACATGTTCACCATGGGGTCGAAGCGGTTGGATCCTTTGACATTGTGGCCAATGATCTTGGCGATGGAGGATCCCCTGCAGGAGATCAGAGGTTCATTAGAGTTGGATGGAGGATTCCAGCCAATCAGAAAGCATTAAACAAATGCAAGCAGATGAATGAGGCAGAACTTTGAATGTTAAATGCTGATTGGCACTTTTAGAGGAGAACTACACCCTTAAAGTCTGTGGATTTAAACAGACCACAGATAATGAGATTAAATGAACCCAGCAGGTTTAAATCTGCCTAATCCTATTTTAGTTAACTGCTGATCGCATCATAATGCAAATTTAAACCAATAAAACATATATTAAAGCAAAACACAGTTTAGTTACCAGTTCCCAGATCCAACGATGCAGACCTTTTGAGCAGGCATGTTGCAGCTGGAAGAATGCTTTGTTAAACTGAAGTGACTGTTGTTCTCTATCTGCCTGTATAACTTCCTTACACGCCCTGTTATTGCTAGAAGAGATCCACTCCGCCCTAAACACGCCACGGTTACGCCTCCTGGTTTCTCCCCTGGAAAATAAAATGACCTGTGGAGTTCTGTGGTGCAGAAACCTGGTAATCTCAATGGATTTCCGCACGCCTCCACATTTCAGCTCCACATATAATGTTAAAATGAAACTAAGGAGCGATGTTGAATGAGCCGAATAGATGCTGTGAGTCGGTAAAAATAAAACATACGAGGAGCTAAAGCGCAGTGACGTTCCAGAGGTCGCCGATAGATAAATCACCGCTAACTGAATGGGAAAGCGCTGATTAGAACGGCCACTGCTCAGCAGCGGTGGAAATGGTGACGAGACTTCCGGTCCAAGTGACTTTCAAAATAATGGTAAATTTTTTAAAAAGCAAAAAAAAAAAAAAAAAAAAAAAAATCGCTATTTTGACGGGAAATTTTAACATCTTTCTTAAGAGGATTAGGCCCATTAAAAAGACTTTTTATTTTAAAGCTATATATATATATATATATATATATATATATATATATATATATATGGTTACATACATAGTTTACATAACTTTTTTTAATCTTTTCAGTGGCTCTTCCGTAAAAAAAGAAAAAGTTAAAATTTCCCTTCAAAATTGCGATTTTTGTTTTGTTTACTGAAAAGATTTATATATATATATATATATATATATATATATATATATATATATATATATATTGTTGCAACTGGATAGCTCGGTAGGTAACACCGACGGGGTTCGATTCCCGGCATGGACATCATCCAGGTGGACCCTTAGGCAAGGTCCTTTGTGCTTAGTGGCCTACCTCAGACATGAGTGATACCGCAAATACAAGAGCCATACCGGCTCGGACGTCGCCCGGGTTAACAAGGTCCGCGTCAGTTGCTAGGGAACCAGGGCAACTTGATGACAAATTGGCTACTGGAACAAGACATAGATGGACTAGAGCAGAAAACTTGGTACTGATGAAATGCTACTATACAAGCATGCCCAGTGAGAGAGGTTATACCTCCTCTACATGGATGACATCAAGCTGTATGCCAGGAGTAAGCGAGACATCGACTCACTGATCCACACTACCAGGATCTACAGCAACGACATTGGGATGCCATTCGGACTGGACAAGTGCGGTCGCATGGCTCTCAAAGAGAGGGAAGATGATCAGAACCGAGGGGGTTGAACTACCAGAAGGCCACATAACAGATGTTCAGGACAGCTACAAATACCTTGGGGTGCCACAGGCTAACGGAAACCACGAGGAGATGGCAAGAAATACTGCCACAGCTAAATACCTACAAAGAGTAAGGCAGGTCCTGAAAAGTCAGCTGAATGGGAAAAACAAGATCCAAGCCATCAACACATATGCCCTACCAGTCATCAGATACCCCGCTGGTATAATAAACTGGCCAAAGGAGGAGATAGAGGCTACTGACATCAAGACGAGAAAGCTCCTCACAATGCATGGAGGGTTCCACCCCAAATCCAGCACTCTGAGACTGTACACCAAGCGTAGCGAGAGAGGCCGAGGGCTAGTGAGTGTCAAGAGCACTGTCCAGGATGAAACAACTAAGATCCAGGAGTACATCAGAAAGATGGCCCCCAAAGACAAATGGCTTGGTGAATACCTCAGGCAGGAGAAAACCGAAAGTGAGGACAAGAAAGAGGAAGGAGAACCATCATGGAGGGACAAGCCGCTGCACGGCGTATACCACAGACAAATATAAAAAAATATCAAATATCAAATAAGGATAAGCAAATCCTACCAGTGGCTGGAAAAGGCTGGACTGAAGGACAGCACAGAGGCACTAATCATGGCAGCACAAGAACAGGCACTCAGTACAAGATCAATAGAGGCCAGGGTCTACCACACCAGGCAGGACCCCCGATGCAGACTGTGCAAAGATGCCCCTGAAACAATACAGCACATAACAGCGGGGTGTAAAATGCAGGCAGGAAGTGCATACATGGAACGCCACAACCAGGTAGCTGTCATAGTGTACAGGAACATCTGCCATGAGTATGGGCTGGAAGTCCCAAGGTCAAAATGGAAGACACCTCCTAAGGTAGTTGAGAATGACCGAGCTAAGATCCTATGGGACTTCAAGATCCAACCAACCAGACATCGTGTTGATCGACAAACAGCAGAAGAAGGCAGTAGTGATAGATGTGGCAATCCCAAGCGACAGCAACATCAAGAAGAAAGAACACGAGAAGCTTGAGAAATACCAAGGGCTGAAAGAGGAGCAAGAAAAGATGTGGAAAGTAAGAGCAGCAGTGGTGCCAGTGGTAATTGGAGCACTGGGGGCTGTGACCCCCAAACTGGGAGAGTGGCTACAGCAGATTCCAGGTAAAACATCAGAGGTCTCTGTCCAGAAGAGCACAGTCCTAGGAACAGCTAAGATACTGCGCAGAACCCTCAAACTCCCAGGCCTCTGGTAGAGGACCCGAGCTTGAGGATGACACATACACTATATTGCCAAAAGTATTTGCTCACCTGCCTTGACTCACATATGAGCTTAAGTGACATCCCGTTCCTAATCCATAGGGTTCAATATGACGTCGGTCCACCCTTTGCAGCTAGAACAGCTTCAACTCTTCTGGGAAGGCTGTCCACAAGGTTTAGGAGTGTGTTTATGGGAATTTTTGACCATTCTTCCAGAAGCGCATTTGTGAGGTCGCACACTGATGTTGGACGAGAAGGCCTGGCTCTCAGTCTCCGCTCTAATTCATCCCAAAGGTGTTCTATCGGGTTGAGGTCAGGACTCTGTGCAGGCCAGTCAAGTTCATCCACACCAGACTCTGTCATCCATGTCTTTATGGACCTTGCTTTGTGCACTGGTGCACAGTCATGTTGGAAGAGGAAGGGGCCAGCTCCAAACTGTTCCCACAAAGTTGGGAGCATGGAATTGTCCAAAATGTCTTGGTATGCTGAAGCATTCAGAGTTCCTTTCACTGGAACTAAGGGGCCAAGCCCAGCTCCTGAAAAACAACCTCACACCATAATCCCCCCTCCACCAAACTTTACACTTGGCACAATGCAGTCAGACAAGTACCGTTCTCCTGGCAACCGCCAAACCCAGACCCGTCCATCAGATTGCCAGATGGAGAAGCGCGATTCGTCACTCCAGAGAACGCGTCTCCACTGCTCTAGAGTCCAGTGGCGGCGTGCTTTACACCACCGCATCCGACGCTTTCCATTGCACTTGGTGATGTATGGCTTGGATGCAGCTGCTCGACCATGGAAACCCATTCCATGAAGCTCTCTGCGCACTGTTCTTGAGCTAATCTGAAGGCCACATGAAGTTTGGAGGTCTGTAGTGATTGACTCTGCAGAAAGTTGGCGACCTCTTCGCACTATGCGCGTCAGCATCCGCTGACCCCGCTCCGTCAGTTTACGTGGCCTACCTCTTCGTGGCTGAGTTGCTGTCGTTCCCAAACACTTCCATTTTCTTATAATACAGCTGACAGTTGACTGTGGAATATTTAGGAGCGAGGAAATTTCACGACTGGATTTGTTGCACAGGTGGCATCCTATCACAGTTCCACGCTGGAATTCACTGAGCTCCTGAGAGCGACCCATTCTTTCACAAATGTTTGTAAAAACAGTCTGCATGCCTAGGTGCTTGAATTTATACACCTGTGGCCATGGAAGTGATTGGAACACCTGATTCCAATAATTTGGATGGGTGAGCAAATACTTTTGGCAATATAGTGTACCACCCCACGAGGGGTGAGAAAACAGTTAGTTTTTTTTATTTTTTATATATATTACTGAAAACATTAAAAAAGTTAATATATATATATATATATATATATATATATATATATATGTAAGGGTGTGTGTGTTTGCTAGTTCTCGGCTACAATCAGTGTCTACAATCCTTATCGGTTGGCGATGATAAGGCATCAAACTATCATTTGCCAACTTCCATTAAAATTCAAGAAGGATAAGCAAAATATAAGTTCTCCTTTCTATCTTTTTGTGTAATTTTATTTTGTAGTATCCGTTATTGAAATTGTGCTTTTATTTTTTTAACACTAAACGGAGGCACGCTTGGTCAAATAGTCACGTGACCGCGTTCTAGCCTAGACAGTAAATACCAGAGGCTAGCTTAGACTGCTAACAGCTATTCCCTCCTCACCATGGACTTCCAGCCGTAGTCCGCGGGAGTACAGCTTCCTCTGAGGGATGACACCACTTTCTCTGCCGCGGGAGGAGAAAAACAACCAAAAGAACACGGAAGCCCAGGCTGGTTGATCAAATCTCCGCTCAGCATCAGAACTTTTAGCCTCCAGAAGCTAGCGGCTAGCCGCCGCCTGGTGACTATGCAGGGGGAAACCGCTGCGGTAAACGAGAGCAAGCTGGATGGGTTCCCCGCAAACAGAACCCCGAGTTCGGGGAGAGCGGGCGGGAAAAGCTGGCAGTACAGGTGGGTGTTTTCATTTCCTGTTTACCTGTCCTCCTGACTCACCTGGAAAACGTTTGGAGGTTGTTAATTAGGGCGGACTTTACCCTGTGCGCTGACTGAAAGGAGCTGCTGCTGATCAATCTGTGTTTTTTTTTTAACTCTGTTTATGGCTCATTTTCCAACATTTTCTCATTTCTCGTCCCAATCAAGCGATCACATGGAGAACATAGACGGGTATCTGATGAAATACACCAACCTGGTGACGGGCTGGCAGTACAGGTGAGCTCCAGAACTTCTCCACCACCTATCAGGCTAATGGGTCACTGATCTGTCTGTGTTTGTCCCTCCAGGTTCTTCGTCCTGAACAATGAAGCGGGTCTGCTGGAGTACTTTGTCAATGAACAGTCTCGTCCCCAGAAGCCCAGAGGGATGCTCCCCCTGGCCGGGGCTGTCATCTCCCCCAGCGATGAAGACTCGCATACCTTCACTGTCAACGCCATCAGCGGAGAGCAGTACAAGCTCAGAGGTGAGTGCGTCATCATCATCCATCTGGTGGTATTGATTTGGAGGCTCTTCCATTATCTGAAGCCTGGTGAATCGATACCAGGAAGTGGATCAACCTGGGCCGGCTCTAATTTTCTCTTCCTTTCTCTTCTTTGTAGCCAGCGACGCCAAAGAGAGGCAGCACTGGGTCAGCAGGCTGCAGATCTGCACGCAGCACCATACAGAGGCCATGGGGAAGGTGAGGGAGAGAAATCACTCCTTGTTGGTGTAACAGTGCACCTGTTTTTACCCCGTAGTGATCACCAGTATCGATCTGCTCAGGACAGACGGCTGTGATGGACTGTAAACACCCAACGCGCCGGAGGGGTTCTATTTTTCCACATTAAGCCCTTGTAGTAAATGTGCAGAAAGATGGAGCGTGCGTTTGTTCCACCGCAGGTTTTTACACTTCCTGTGCAGAACGAGAAACATTTAGGCTACGTTCACATCGCAGCCTGAATTGACCCAAATCCGATTTTTTTTTTTTTTTTTTTGGCCCATATGCGACCTGGATCCGATCTTTTCATGGCTGTCTGAACAACACAGATCCGATTTATTTATTTATTTTCCAATGCGAGGCCACTTGGCTATGTGGTCCTGAATCCGATATGAATCTAATCTTTTCAAATGCGACCTGTGTCTGAACGGCCAGGTCGGATTCATCCGACATGAACGTCATTAATACCCGACAAAAGTCACTATTCTGGGTCTTGCTACGCAGAAGCGACAAGAAAACAACAACCATGGCGGACGATGATGCGTAGAGCAGTATTTATGTTCAACCATCTTTGACATATTGAGTTTTTATGGTTGGGAAAGATCGCTAGCTGTGATTACAACCACACTGGAATAACTTTCGCCACGGAAAAACAGGTAAAAAGAGAGAGAACCTGCAGACGCATTTAAAACAAGAGGAGCAGGAATGCATGCTTTTGACATAATGGGGCCTCATTTATCAAATCTGCATCTATAGAATATTCAAAATGCGCATTAAGAGGAGTTTACATGTGTGTTTATCTGCGTACCTGGACCCCTCACCCCAGCTTTCAAACCCGACTCTATCTGCTGATATGGGGGTGATGACAGAGTCTATAGGGCACAGAGTTCATGTTTTCACAGAGCCTCTCTCACATGTATGTGCAAATAAGGAGATAAAGTGTTTAAAACACTGTATCCATGCCCGTTAGACTCATTTCGGCCCAGTTCTAGTGTTGTTTTTAAAGTTTCAGTGTTTCTGGGGAGAGGAAGCCCCGATGGCAGCCAAAGGAAAGGAGTATAGAGGCTACAAATGTCAGCCTAGCGACCCGCTACTGTAGACTATGGTGTAAATGCCCAGTCCTAAACTGTGCTTTATTAAAAAAAAAAAAAAAGGCGTTGAGGGCTGATTTTCATCAGGAAATCCTTATAACCGTATTTTCACGACCATAAGGCGCACCGTACTAACAGGCGCAGTCTCAGTTACGTGTCCCATTTCTGTATTTAACACACACATAAGGCGCACCGGACTATAGGGCACGTTTTTTATATACAGGTACATGTCCTCTACTACCTTTAGATACCTCTACTGCGTATTTAAAAATACAGCGGGGGCAAAACTGAGTATGACTGTGCTTTATTCATGTATTTATTACAAAGTATTAATCAAACCTGGGAGCTGCCGTGAGACAGACACATCGCAGATGACACTGAGTGCTGTGATCACTCCTCTGAAACAGGTTCTTGATGCATAAATTAACTTAAAATGCAGAAATCTGCCGACAGAATATGTTCGCTTTTATTATCCTGGTGCCTGCAGTTTAGATTGTACCAGTTAGTTCTGACGCGCGGCTGCAGCAGCTTTGCTGCTCTGGCTGCAAAAGTGTGTCTGACGCGCGTTGGGCGGAGCTACTCTATCCTTTCTTTGCCTTGCAGCTATATTTGCTGTGATCAGTGGGAATAAAGTAGTTTTAATATGTTTTTAAGTGGGAAAATCCACCTGAAAACTTAATTCAACAGCAGCCTCTGGCCGGGTCGCCTCCTCGCGGTTCAACGCGGCGGCTGGTAGGTTTTTTTCATCAAAATAATCCAAACTGCAGGCACCAGGATAATAAAAGCCAACATATTCTGTTGGCAGGTTTCAGGATTTTAAGTTAATTTAGGCGTTAATAAACTGTTTCAGAGGAGCGATCACAGCGCTCTGTATCATCAGCGATGTGTCTGTCTCGCTGTCAGCTCCCAGATCAGCTTCTCTGATTGGTTGATGCGGCGCGTCGAGCAGCAAAACTTCAAATTTTCCATCTCGAGCAGCAGCGCGTTTGCGGCGCGTCAGATGCTTAAATGCTTCCGCCACGCTGCGCCTGCTGCTCAAAACCTTTTGCTGCGCCTTGACGCGCGTCAACAATTGACTTTGCATGTAAACTCACTGCTTCTGCTGCACCTGTGTCCGGTGTGAAAGCAGCATTAACGGCCGGTTCACACCGATGTCAAGATGTTGAAGTTCTTTTGTCAGACCTCCCGGAATAACAGCAAGCACAGCGTTCATTTGATTCACCTTTTTTTTCACATCAGCTGTGAGATGGGCACGCATGGAGTCACAGATTAACAGGTGATGCGTGGAAAAAACCACCTGGTCTCCTTACATTCACCTCCCTCAGCCACTCTTTTATCATCTCCTCATTGAGGAGATGATGAGTTCTGCATACCTGTTCTTTAATACACAATCCACGCCCACACTTCCCCCTTTAACGTTCTCATGGTGGTCTCGACAACGTCCGCAGTAACAACACACATAGGGCGCGCCGCACATTTTGAGGGAAAAAAAAAAATGCTTATATGTGCCTTATAGTCACGAAAATACGATAATTTTCATTAATCACAACGATTATAAGCTTTAGAAAAACACTCAGAGAACGCAGACCTTTGCCAAGCTGCAACATTTGCCCCAAATTACTGAAACTCTCACATAATCTGGATCATTACCAAAACGATCCTGCTAATAAACCAACAATATTCCTTTTTCTTGTGCTTTTGTCTTCAGTAAAAAACGTCCGAACTTTTTGAGACCGATGCACTCAGTAGTCACTGCTGCCACCCTCTGGTTTAGTGGGGTACTGCCTGTTCGGCCAAATATCCCTATATCACAACGTCAGAGAATCCTTTAAAAAAAAAAAAATCTGGATCATCTGCTAAATTTAGCAGATTGTTCCTTGGCATGAGGAACACTTCTGATAAAAATGTCATTAAAATTAATCCTTAAGATTCATCCTTAAGTTTTCAAGTTATCTTGTACACAGACAAACAGACCTGCATGTGGGAAAAAAATCTTTCTGTTTTTTTTTTTGGCTGTTTTTTTCCATATTTGCGCCATGCTGTGTGTTATTTATTGGTTTCTACTGATAAGAATGTGTTTATTACTGTTTTATTACTGTTTTCTGCTAATTTTGTCTATTATGCCTTTTGTTGCAAATTGGTTACATAACTAAATGTCCATTTATATTTTTTGAGCAGCAGTCAAAATAATTTCTGCTTAATTTTGCATTTAAGGCAAAAACACAATAGATTATAAATTTTTTTAGACAGGTTTATAACATCTGGAATGGAGGGTTTAAAAAGCCTTCACTTCTATTTTTGGATGGTATTAGGTAGGACACAGTACATGACACAGGGGGAAACGTTTTGTTATCGTTTTCCATGTGTTAGAACGGCCTAGTCAAAGTCCTGACATAAGTATGAGCGCAGTATTTTATTAAAAGAACAACTTTAATGATCCATACATCAGTTCTGCTCCATATTTGAGGTTTATGTATGATTGTTTTTTTATTTTTCACAGAGTAATCCCCCTCCCGATTCCCGCAGCTACTCTGTGGCGTCTCAAAGCAGCGCCGGCTCCCCCATGTCTCTCCGGCGGCCGAGCCAAAACGCCAACGCCTTGTTCGGCTGGGGGCAGAGCCACAAGGGCTCCATCTACTCCAGCAAGAAGTCCCTGGTGCCAGACCACCTGCTGGACGCCAGAGAGGTACAGAAAAGCTGAGGAGATGGAACTGATCAGGGTTCCATTCCAGATACGTTACTGCTTTCACACCAGACCCTGACATATTTTATGATATAATCTCTTCTTTATTTTCTCAAGAAAACAATCCTAAAATTCAGATTATGACACCATCTATCTTTAAAATTCCGTCATTCAGACAGCGAGCTCAACAACAGCTCAACAACAGCCAGATGCATGTCTCCCTCCGCCTAGCTCCTAGCTGGGCGGAGGGAGACATGCATCTGGCTGTTGTCAGGTTAGTAGGCCCTAGCTGTCTGAATGACGGCGCGCACTGATACGAACAGAGAGAAAATAGGACCAATTGATAACAACGTGTGACTTTTTCCACTACAACGTTTTTGGGATGCAAAAATATCACTCTTTTGAACACATAATGTTTTGGGAAGAGAAAAGTTTTATTTCGCTGGGTCTAGCAAACCTGCCGGACTACTTTCGGCTTGACCAAAACTGGACGAGAACTCTGCTCACAGGACGCTGCCAGGGGTAAGTCAGTGTGATTGCATGACACTGGTGATGGGGATGCCATACAGATTCATGTCAAAAATACCGAACTATCCCTTTAATGACAGACCTGCAGCACTAATGACCCGACTGCTTTACGCCAGCAGAGGGCAGTACAGCAGAAAAAAAGGGAGAAAGGCAACAAGAGACTAGACTTCATATTAATGCATTATAATAAAGAAAATATAATATTTTCAAAAATACCAGAAAGTCTTTTTAAAATGCTGGTTGGAAGGAAGATGTTCTTCAAATAGAACTTTGATGCAAAAGCTTAAATTTATTAAAAGGTTAATAAGGCAGTTTGAATTTATGAGTGAAAATCTATTTTAGACGATCCTATAAAATTTTAATTTAACGCATACAAAAATTTTTAAAATGCCTCATGTTTTTATAGGCCAATAGTTAATTGGCAGCTATATGGAGTTAATTTTGTTCCATTATTCTTGCAAAGAACAAGTTTTGTAAATGGAAATTTGTAAAAGAAAATGCAATCTAGAGATGAAACTGAAAGACTTTAATTAAAAAAAAAGGTATTTTTAATTTTCAAGTTTTGTTTTTTTATAGATGTACAGATTTTTGCAATTTTAAAAATTTTATTTTATTTTTTTCAAATTATGTTTTCACAGATTACATTATCTACACTTGAAGCCAAATTACATGTTGTTGCTCATTTCCAAATTGACCTATATAAATGCCAGCTTCTCACCAGGGAATGACAGCGTAGCGGCCCCTACGGTGACATTTTTTAACCACTATTTTGAAATTTTATTTATTTTTTTAAATGATTTTAATTAATGGATTGCATTTTTTTCAGTTTTTTGTTTACAAAATATTTTTATTTCTGTGCAATAATAATGGAACAAAATTCTCTCCGATTACTGAGCTTTTTTTAGCATACCTCACACTGTTGGTTTTTAATCCGATCAAAAGACACCTTCATTATTTTAAGATCATCTTACCTAAAAAATAAAATATACCCGAGAAAGAATAAAATGTCTTAGATAAATAAATGTCCCTCTAATATAAATGCAAAGGTTACAGCATCAAAGGTGGAGGATTTTTACACCTTCAATGAGGTAAAGAACTTTCCATCCCTGGTTGAAAGCAACCAGCTCTGCACATCTCCTGGAAGGTTGTCGGGTAGAATAGTGGGTCTGGTTCCTCCGCAATATCGGATCCGATCTTCTCTACAAAGGAGGTGAAAGTGGGACATTCCTTCTGCTGTGTAACTTTGGCTTCATTGGCTGAAAACATGAAATATTCAACAGCTGGATTGCTTCAGCTGAGGCTGCCGGGGCATGGAGGGAATTTTATTCCATTGGAAATGGAAACAAAAAAAAAGAAATCTATATAATTACAGCTCGAAATCAAAATTCAATCAAAAGAAACAAATAAAAAAAAACTGTAGAAAGGGATTTGAAAAATGGATGAGAAAAAACAATAGCAGAAAACTGCAAATTTATTGTTAACTTTTTTTGTTTTTTTTGTTTTTCAAGTTTCAAACCTGTTCTTTTTGCAATAATAATGAAACAAAATTCACCCCGTACTGTTGTGAAAACAGCAGCTCTTCAGGTTGATTTGAATCCCCAAATAAACGAAGCGAATGTGAACGTAGAGATCTGATTTTTGTGTCCAGATGATGAGCCAGGCCCAGGGCCAACACAAGGACCTGATCCAGAGCATCGAGGGGCTGCCGGCGGCCCCCGGCCTCTCCCCTTTGGACCAGGACCTCCTGATGCTGAAGGCCACCTCCATGGCCACCATGAGCTGCCTGAACGAGTGCCTGCAAATCCTGCACCTGCAGCAGGTGGCCCGCCAGAGAGCCTCGCTGGGAGGTGAGTGTTTAAGGATGAAAATCATGGCCTCTGACACCAAGAGCTTCACCTAAAACCAGAGCGTCCAGCTTTGCTGGAATTATCTTGCATTATTGATGGTGGGGGGGGGGGGGGGGGGGGGGGGGGGGGGTGGAAGGGTAATTAGATCTGCTGCCGTTAAATATTAACCGGAACATTCTGAGCAGCAAGAGGTGCTGCGCTTGGTTATGGAGGGAAATTTGTTCCATTATTGTTGAAAAAAACACATTTTATAAACGAGGTAAAACAAAGGAAAAGTAGTTTATTGAAGAAAAAAAAAGATGTTTTTCACAGTGACTTTGCTGTTTTCTCATATTTTGTTTTATTTTTCAAAACTTTTGATGTTTTAAAGAAGAAGAGAAAAATTATTTTTTAATTTTTTATTATTATTTTGCAGATTGCATTTTCCAATTGACGTTCTCTTTACTTCTGGAGGGACGGGAAGAGTGAAGGGAAAAAATGTGATTTTTAAAGAATGCAATCTGGAAAAACTGAATCGAAGAAAACTGAAATTAAAAAGAAGAAATAATAAAAAAAAATTCTTAAACTAAAATATGTGGAATATGTAAAATATAAAAAATTTGAAATGTAAAACTCAAAATCAGAATATGATGTGAAAAGAAAAAAAAGTAAAATAAAACAAAGAAAAACTTTGAAAAAAAGACAAAACTAAAAATATCAAATCTGTGAACTTTAGAGGACAGATTTCTCTACATTTCGCCTTGGAAAGTGTAAACGCGTTCCTGTTACCTGATGCAGATGCACCAATCAGATTAGAAGGGGGCGGAGTCAGGGTCTCCTGACGGCTGCCTCCACAGGCGGTGTCAGGTGACTCCCTTCAGGTACGGATCAGCTGCTGTAGGAGCAGCCATCTGTCTTGCAGCAGCAGCAGGTGGATATTCGCAGAGCTGCTCTCTGTTTCTGCTGCGGGGGGGTAGAAGGGCGGGGTTGTTAGGTGGGGACGGGGTGGGGGGGCGGGGGCGCCAGAACCATGAGCGCGTCTGAATCCTCATCTTCCACAGGACCCACCATCGAGTGGCTGGAGCCCAAAGTGCCCGACATCCTGAAGAACGGCAGCAGCTCTCTGAGCGACTTCACCACGGGGGAGGCCCCGCCGGAGGGGGGGCGCCTGGAGCTCAGCCCCCCTGAGTCTGAGAGCTTCTCTGGGGTAAGAAAACCGACCTGCTGTCGAGGTCCTCCATGAAAACTGCTTTTATAGAAACAAAAAGGGTTTGTTTTTCAATGGATGTTAATAAACTACATTTCCCAGAATTCATTCTTGTTTAATGGCAGCCTGATAGACTGAAACGTTTGTTTCTAATCTTTTTTGTTTTGTTTTATGTAAATAAAACGCTTTATATATGTATAATGTCAGGTAAAAAGTCAGATTTAAAAAAGAGTAAATATAAAGTTTTCATTAAAATCTAGAAAATCAGTGAATTTAATCAAAAAATAAATAAGTTATGGGACTGACCAGCTGATTCTGATGGAAGCTTTGATGCAGGTGTTGTAGTTTATTTCCAAATAGGTCAGAATCAGGTTGATCTTCACTAATAGATCAAAATAAATCTGTTTAATGGGATGCGATAAAAAATAATAGATTTTATTTGCTGAGGCTTATGAAGTTAGAGACGCTGGAGGGACCGTTTATCGTCTGCGTCTGTTAGGAGCAGGAGGAGATCGACCCTGAGGAGGAGGTGGAGGACTCCTTCACAGATGAGGAGGAGGACCTGGGAGCTGTGGAGGAGGAGCGCAGCGTCATCCTGCACCTGCTGTCGCAGCTGAAGCTGGGCATGGACCTCACACGGGTACGTCTAAGAACCTCGACCAATCCGGTTTCCTCTTTCTTTAGTTGGTTTCATTTGAGGATTTTTGACTTGAATCCTTTTTTGTTTCTAAATGTAAAGGTTGTTTTCATTTAAATTTTGTTGCTTTATGAGCATAAAAAGATGAATTCCTGAAACTTGGATGAACAAATTTGTTTCTCTCAAGGTTTTGTTATTAAAACTTAAAAAACTAAAACCGCAGGTCATTAAAAATCTCCAGGATGAAGGTGAACTCATTAAATAATTTTTTTAATTAAGGCCTTAATTGGCATTACAATTAAATTAAAGACTATCGTGGCATTTTATAATGCTTTATTAAAAAAAAAACTGCTTCTGGTTGACTGTGAAGCCGTACGTTCAGGAAATAAGCTCAAGGCGGAGAAAACGCTAGAGAATTTCAACAAAAAACGGCTGGAAAACGAGGAATTGGAGACATGGCTGCAGCCTAAGATGATGATTTTTGCTGTGTTACACATATATATTATATAAATGAGAGTCATGGGTACTTGTTAATGGCATTAAAATTGTTTCTAAGCATTAAAATGCATTAAATTAGAGTTACCAATTCCTGTATAAACCATGTTAAAGATAGGTGATCTATAACGCTCACTTAAACAGAGAGCAGGTCCAAACATTGTTGGTTCTCATGTATTTTCTTATAAAACGTTACATGTTGACCTGATTTTCAACACGAAAGCTAAACTGAAGCTGATGGAGAATGAAACGTTTCTGGGTTCCTCTTAAGTTCCTTCTCTTTTTTTGATATTTTTTTTTCATGTAAGTATTTTTCTTCTTCTCTACTTTATATTCTGTTGATGTAAAGCGTGTAACATCTGCGCGCTGTGTTTTCCAGTGAATCAAAAGTTTTGCAGCCTTAGTTGATGAACATGAATTCCTCGGCTTCTTTTCAGTCCCAAAACCAATTATAAAAAGTAAAGTCATTTGTAACCAGTTGATTATTTTAAGTTTTTTTTATAGGTGAAATTCTCCATTTTCTAAGATTCTACTAAACACCACATATTTAAACACATTTATGTTCACAAACAAATCAACTTTCTAATCTTAAATTGTTTAAGCTAGTAAATTAAAATAAGAGGCAGAAAAACTCATAAAGTAAATCTGGTATTCTGACAAATGGGCTGTAAGTATGGAGCTACATTGATGCCCTAAATTCTGTGAAAAAAAAAAAAAAACATTACAAACTGAAACTACAGATTTAAAACTAATCTGCACTTTCCATTTAGAGTCACCTTCTCCATCAGGAGCCAGTAGAAAGAAAAATGTCAAGCTTGTGTTACAAAAACATAGGGTGTCTACATAGAAACCCAAATGGATAGAACTTCTCTCAATCGGAATTCAATTTCTTTCTGATCGGACTGAACAGGAAAAGAATCTTCAGTCTGACTTGTTTTCATGACACTTCTGATTAATTGTGTCCATGCAAACGTAGATATTGACCCAAGCCTTCCATCATGGAGAATGGTAAAGCAGGTAGAGACCAATCTGTTGGGGTCTCAGTGAAGAACCAGGAGATGCTTACTTTAAGCTTAAACGCTAAAAGTGAAGTTTAATGACCTAAACTCTAGATAAGATTTAGATACTTAAAGGTTTTTTGCATCAAATCCTCACATTAACCTTATAACCACAGTTGGGCACAACCCACCATGAACTCTTTGAATAAAATGACGTTTGAAATGACAATCCGACGATATCTGCCTGGACACTTAGAATAGATTTATCATCTCAGATTGAAATGAACCGAAATAAAAATGAGCATTTTTCACCTTTAGTCTTAAGCTGATAGATTTACCTGGATCTTTGTAATTTAAAGTTAAAGTAATCTCTAGCATTCTAGTTTGTACTTTTGGAACCTTGTATTGCCCATCGTCTACCTGTGGCCGCAACTCATGATAAGGCTAACTAAAACAGCATTAACACTTACTGTGTAAACGGTAGTTCAATTCCGTTTATTTATATAGCGCCAATTAACAACACATGTCATCTCAAGGCACTTTACAGTCCAACAGATCATACAGCCAGATTGATTCAAAGTTTTCAATCTAAGGAAAACCAGTTGATTGCATAGACTCATTGACTCAAAGGCAATCTCAAACACTATGCCAGGGGTTGAAGAGAGCACATCCTGCCAGTCACAGTCAGAGAAACAGGACTACACTGGAAAACAGGCCGATCTTCAGCTCAACATCACAGCTGATATTTCTCTCCAGGATGGAGTCACAGCCAAACAGGAACAGACCAGATGAAGCTACCATGAGAAAAAGCAGAGAGAGCAGAACGTTAGAGATTGAACTAACGGATTCTGCAGAATAGGAGAATAAAGAGAGAATAAAGCAGAATGATGAAAAAGGGGTCCCTATGTCCTCCAGTAGTCTAAGCCTATAGCAGCATAACTATAGAGATAGCTCAGGATAACCTGAGACACCCTAACTATAAGCTTTATCAAAAATGAACGTTTTAAGCCTAGCCTTAAAAGTAGACAGGGTGTCTGCCTCACGGACTAAAACTGGTAGTTGGTTCCACAGGAGAGGAGCCTGATAACTAAAAGATCTGCCTCCCATTCTACTTTTAGAAACTCTAGGAACCACTAGTGAACCTGCAGATTGAGAGCGAAGTGCTCTGTTAGAAACATAAGGAACAATCAGATCTCTGATATAAGATGGAGCTTGGCCATTTAAGGCTTTATATGTGAGGAGGAGGATTTTAAATTCTTTTCTGGATTTAACAGGAAGCCAATGAAGAGAAGCCAGGATAGGAGAGATGTGATCTCTCTTTTTAATTTTCATCAAAACTCTGGCTGCAGCATTTTGGATCAGCTGAAGGCTTTTAACTACAGTTTGTGGACTTCATGATAGTAAAGAATTACAATAGTCCAGCCTTGAAGTAACAAATGCATGGACTAGTTTCTCAGCATCACCAATGGACAGGAGATTTCTAATTTTTGCAATTTTCCGCAGATGAAAGAAGGACATTCTAGAAACCTCTTTGATATGGGATTTAGTATGTAAACAAGTTAGTTGATCCTACTACTGCAAACAGACAAAGCAGGAAAGTTCAACTAGCTAACATGCTAGTCGTATCCAGTTTTACATCAACCCTTCCTTGGATTTCGGACTTTCAAAGGTCTTTCTAGTTTTATTTCCAACTCCAAGCCCGGAAATGTAGCCTAGGTACCAATGAGACTTGTCAAGAATCCCCCAGACCTGTAGAAATCCTGTGCAAGCCTTGAGACACTGGGGGACCTACATGGTTTCAAAAAGAAATTGATAGAGATCCATCAATGTACCATCTGGGATTTCTTTGTTTTGATAACCGGATTCTTTTGTCTTCACCAAATGAGGGGGGGAATGTCTGTTTTTGACCACAAGATGTCAGTGTTGCCTCTTTGACTTGACTTGAACCTCTGTTGAGCACATTTCTCGAATTGTTCCCATAGGTGGTTCTCCCCACCTTCATCCTGGAGAAGCGCTCGCTGCTGGAAATGTACTCCGACTTCATGTCCCACCCAGAGCTTTTCGTCGCCATCACCGACGGGACCAGCCCCGAAGACCGCATGGTGCGGTTTGTAGAGTACTACCTCACATCCTTCCACGAGGGCCGCAAGGGCGCCATCGCCAAGAAGCCCTACAACCCAATCATCGGCGAGACCTTCCGCTGCTCCTGGAGGGTCCCCAGGACGGCGGAGGCCTCCACAGAGCCCCCGCAGGGAGGTCCGGACCCCTCCACCAACTCCCAGGAGCCCTACCAGGTGCGCTTCGTGGCGGAGCAGGTGTCCCATCATCCGCCGGTGTCCGGCTTCTACGCAGAGTGCCAGGAGAGGCAGATGTGTGTGAACACGCACGTGTGGACCAAGAGCAAGTTCATGGGGATGTCTATTGGCGTGTCCATGATCGGAGAAGGTCAGTGAACGTCACATCTTGTTTCTTATTTCTGAAAATCCTCAAATTAATTTGGGTCTTTAAGATGATCTTTAGAAATCTGCCTTTCTGATCAGTGAGCTAGATCTCACAGAACTGATTTCCTAAAGGTATCAAGCTGTAGAAACTGGACATTTCTCTGTACTTAATACAGACTGAAAAGAACAGATACCCTCTTAGATATTTAATGGCAACTCTAAGTAATTAATGAGCCTTTCAGTCAGAGAGGATTGAATTCACAGCCTCTTATTTCAGGGTGGACTACAACTGCCTTTCTAGGATTCATCCAGGTCCAATTCCCGATCTGTCCTGTCTAGGTTGTTTACATTTGCTGGAGCACGATGAAGAGTACACGTTCACGCTGCCCTGCGCCTACGCCCGCTCCATCCTCACTGTTCCCTGGGTGGAGCTGGGGGGCAAGGTCAACATCAGCTGCAACAAATCGGGTTACTCCGCCGTCATCACCTTCCAGACCAAACCCTTCTATGGCGGTAAATTACACAAGTACGTCCCCACTCCGCCGCATTGGTTTCTATCCAGTTTACCTTCCTTACATATTGTTTTTTTGTTTTTATTTACATTCTACTTCTTATTCCAAGTAAATTACTAAATTGTAACTGCAAATTTAATCAATTCCATCAAAAGTATAAAACTTTATTAAAGGGTTAGCTGTTCAATCGCGTAGCATTTAGCATCAAACAATATTAGACACTTAAATGTGAGTTTCTTAGTTAGATTTGCCTTTAGGGTGTCATACATGCAGCTATTTAATGAGTTTTGTTGTTGTATAATTAGCACTTTGATTATATAAATTTATTAGCTTCTATAATTGATATAATAACTGTATTGATCTCACATTGGAGGAATTTAGCTCTGCATTTAACCCTTCCATTCCCGCGGACTTCAAACGTGCTTTTTAACTTTTTTGATATGTCCTATAGTGGTAATAAATTATCTATTACTGTCTTTACTGCTATATATATATATATAAGTTATTTACTGTTCATTTGTGTTCAGTTTTTCTCAAGACTCATGAATTATTGTATAGTGGTTTATTAACATTAACTACACATTCATATTGTTAAGTGCTATATTGTGTAATTAATGGTAATAAACTGTAATAATACAACATTAATGCTAATAAACCCTTAAAGGAATAGTACACCCAAAACATGATTAGCCTTCATTTTCTACTCACCCCCATGCTGAACAACACTCTGGAGTACTTTTTTGATATCTCAAATGCATCTGGAGATCTGGGAGGCTTCTTGCTGTCTGCTGACATTCAAATAATAGAGGTCTATGGTGACCGAGACAGAAAGGTCCATAAAAGTCCACAAAAAACGTGTCAATATTCCTCCATACTGCTCGTCCAATGTATTCCAAGTGTCCTGAGTGGGTAGCGTCCATAATTTACTCGAAACGAAGTCATTTAGAATGTTTTTAGAGCATAAACAGTAGTGTATAGGATTTCCTGAAAGCGCGTTCACGACGCTACGGAAACCGCGACAGACCAAACCAGATGAAAGTGCGCATTCAGCGTCTGCTCTGCCGATAATGCAAGCGTAGAAGAAGAAATGTGCTGTTTACCTGTGCAAAGAAAGAAACAACGAAAGAAAAATGTCTGAGGACTTCAGTGTTGAGGAAGAGCATGAGTTCTTTGCCGAGCTGAATGCGCACTTTCGTCTGGTTTGGTCTGCCGCGGTTTCCGTAGACTCGTGAACGCGCTTTCAGGAAATCCTATACACTACTGTTTACGCTCTAAAAACATTCTAAATGACTTCGTTTCGAGTAAATTCTGGACGCTACCCACTCAGGACACTTGGAATACATTGGACGAGCAGTATGGAGGAATATTGACACGTTTTTTGTGGACTTTTATGGACCTTTCTGCCTCGGGCACCATAGACCTCCATTATTTGAATGTCAGCAGACAGCAAGAAGCCTCCCAGATCTCCAGATGCATTTGAGATATCAAAAAAGTACTCCAGAGTGTTGTTCAGCATGGGGGTGAGTAGAAAATGAAGGCTAATCATGTTTTGGGTGTACTATTCCTTTAACATTGCGTCATTTGTCGAGAAAATGATCTCTCTTCAGACATCTTAGGTTATCGTATACCAAAATCATGAACTAAACTGTTATTAAGTTTGCTTCCATCTTTGTCTTTCGTTTTAAGAAATGTATGTTTGTTTATTTTTTTAGGGTGACGGCGGAGGTGAAGCACAACCCCACCAATGCGGTGGTGTGCCGAGTGCAGGGCGAGTGGAACGGCGTGCTGGAGTTCATTTACACCAGCGGAGAGACGAAGGTGGTGGACGTCACCAAGCTGCCCGTCATAAGGAAGCGGGTCCGCCCCATAGAGAAGCAAGCTCCGACCGAGTCCAGGTCGGGCCGATTGGTTCTGATATGTGGAGAAACTCCCAGGGGGAAGCAAATCTCACACTCCTTCCTCTTGCAGGCGACTGTGGCAGCACGTGACGGAGGCCCTCCGGCAGAAGGACATCGAGAAAGCCACCGAGCACAAACGGGTTCTGGAGGAACGGCAGCGTAGCGAGGCGAGGCACCGCGCCGAGACAGAAACTCCATGGAGGACCAGATACTTCGATCAGGAGGTGAGCGACATCTCCACCCATATTTGGCTGCGATGGATCATCTGCGCTCCTGTTAAGCGTTTTTTCTCCCCTCCAGGGCGAAGGCTGGGCGTACCGCAAACCTCTCTGGAAAAACTCAGCATCCAAGTCCTACGTTTCCTGTCTTTAGAATGGAGGGTTGGAAATGGCGGGCTGGGATGTGAAAGCTGCGGCCTGCTGAAGCCGCATGGGGAGAGTCGGCCTATCGGGTGACGCCTGAATTCTCACAGAACAAGGTTACATCCTGCTGAGCTGGAGGGGGGGGATTTTATAACTAAACGCTGATGAAAACATATTCTTGTACAGGTACTTACAGCCTTAAGACGGTTTGGATGAATGTTGCTTGGTTTGAGTCTTTTCTTCACCTTCTGCTCTGCTTTCATAAAAGGAAGACGTTTGTTCCGGAAATAACCACAGTAGAGCCACCAAGCATCCATTTAGTAGGAAAGATCAGGCCGAGTGTTCGACAGGAGAGTCCGTTTTTATCTTAAATTAGACGGAGAAATTAAATGAAAGAGGAGGACGTTGGATAATAAGGTTGAATTTATTTATTTTTTTTTTACGGGAAATAAATGGGATGATTAGTTGGTAAAAATAAATATATGGTTTATGAATTTACATAAATGACCCTTAAAGTCATTTTAAAGGTATTAATCAATATTTATGACCAGGAATGACAAAGTTTGGCCTATAAATAACCGCTTTATTCACGATTTCTACAAGCAGAGCAATTTGCAGAAATTTCTTTATTCTGTGATTGTTTTCCATCTACGCATATTTATTTTCTTTGTCTGAATGTGCATCTTTAATCTTAATTTTTTTCCCCAATAAAAATGATTTTTTTCTTTACCTGCCCCCTCCCCTTATTCAATTTTAAAGTTTATCCTGTCATATTATTTTACTTAAAACGTCATACTTCGACGTTGTCCAATCATCCTATATTCTCTCAACCAAGCATCTTCAAGTGCAATTTAATCATTCTGCAGATGCGCTACTTTCAAAACCACCTAAAAAGCTTTTGTTAGCATTGTAAAATAGTAAAGGACATCAGTCAATCACTGGCAACAGAAAACCAAGTATATTTCCTGTCTGAAAGAACAATATGCTAAAAAGGAAAAATCCTGATAACGTTTTTCAAAACTTCTCACATTTATTTTGTGTTTCTACGCTTACATGTGCTTTAAATCTCTGCATTTATTAGCATTATAAACACACGATGAATGGTTATTGCACCTTTTTTTTTTTTTTTACTGACACAATCATTGAATTTTCTTTGATTATTAATGCATCATGCTAATTAATCTTAATATTTATGTACATGCAACGTTTAACAAGCGGTTACTGGTATTAGAGCCTGGTATAAATAATATCCTACTAATGACATAGCCCTAAGCATGTTATTAACTCGCAGCAAATAAGCATTAGCATTTCACGCCATTAGGTTTATTAATTATTTATTACATGCTTATTTACCATTTATAAATACTCAACTCCGTTCAAATGTTTTATAGTTTGGATCCAACTTTACACTGTTTTCAAATGATCAAGGTTTGCTTCCCCTTAATATATTTATTTTAGAGGTTAATAAACATTTGTTAGCGTTAGTTAACAGTAGTTAGCGTTAATATCTGTCCATCTTAACGTTTAATAGCATTATTTAACATTTGTTAGCCTTAATAAACATGTAATAAGTAGTTATTAACACACAAATAACATGGTTTAAATATATTGTTTACTCGCAGGTAATGTTTTGGTGCTGCTGGATAATAGAGCATTTAACACATGTTTATGATGACTTAAAATGTTTAAATGACATTTTTTTTATCCTATTCCATCAGTTATTAACGGTTTTCTTCGTTTAGCTTTATTAAAATGTGCGTACACCCTGGAAGTTTTGATAAAAGTAAGAATCTAACCGGAAAGAGCCCGTTCAGGAGGATGTATTTACCCCACAGCTGAGACGGCATGCAGTAGAGTAGATTTGATAAAATAAATGTGAATGCATCTTAAACGTGCTCCCGGATGTTCTCCTGCATGGTGATAAAGTCTCTCCGTCTTTTTATCGGTTTGCAGAAGCGCTCCTGAACTTTTTGTTTTGTAATGCGATGAATATTTTCTATAAACGTGCGCTTCCCTGTGCTTTAATCGTTCTTATTTTTAAAGCTGATATTTGTAAAAAAGCTTGCTTGGTCTGTCTTTTGTTTTTGTTTGTAAATTTTCTTACACTGTGATCGGTTTAGTTTTTCTCCCGGCTGAAGCGGTTTCTCAAAGCAGCGCCCGTCAGAGCCGGGTCAGTCCACTCGGCCATCGATAAGCTACTCCCTCTGCAGTCCTGGTGCCTTACATGACTCTTTCCTGTGCATCTCTTTCTTCCCCCCCAGAAGGAGCACAGAGTTTTCCACCATTTATTTACCTGGATGATGCACTGATGTCTGCTCTGTTTTCTTGTGTTTTCTATTTTTCTTTTGAAAGAACCAGTGCTTGTAAATGAAAGGGGGGAGGGGACACTTTTTATTCCAGGTTTTGACATTTTGTTTGTCATGCTAATTTGTGAAATGCACTGATCTTGATGGAGACCTGATGTAGAGAAACAGAGGTGTGAGCATAATCAAATAAAATTGTGTAAAATGTGTTAACTGGCGTTCTTTTGATTCATTGTTTTACACCCGGTATAATTAGTAGGGATGCACGATATGATCGGCCCCCTATCGGTATCGGCCTTAAAACTGAATATCGGACATCGGCCACCCCACCGATATTTAACCCGATATTTGATCAGCTTCTGAGTTTCTAAAGTCTAAAAACTAAAAACTACTTCTTCTTCTTCTTCCTCAAAAAACTTCTTTTTTACAGACTTAAAAACTTCTACAGACGAGGGAAAAAATATTGATACATTGAAATATCACAATATGCTGATATATTGCCATTTAAAAACACCATATCAATCTCTTTTACCAATGAAATATTGCTATGTCATCGTTATGCTACGAAATCCCCCGAAAATCCAAAAAAGTTTGCCATATTTTTATATGTTGATATATTGACGCGGTATCGATCTATTTTACTAACAAAATATCACGAGAGTTTGTAACAGAACAATGAAATTTCACGAGATTTTGAAAGTAAAATAGATCGATACCGCGTTTTTAAAAATCAACTTGATATCAGCATATGAAAATATATTTGAGTATATTATTTTTCAAAGTGTCAGAAATGGATAACAAAACTGCTATTTTCAATGACTACTTATTTTTGTCCAGCTTTAACATCGGTATCGGTTATCGGCTACATGAGTTTTAAAATATCGGCATATCGGATATCGGCCAAAATCCCAATAGCGTGCATCCCTAATAATTAGCTAAACCTAATTTTGTGTAAAGCGTATGTTAGATAACTATTCAGACTGGATTTTTTGCATATATATAATAAAAGTTAAAGAAAATCTGAACTAGAAAAAGCTGTTTCGGAGAAACAGCAAGTGGGAATGCTCTTGCTGAATGAAAAAAGTTGAAATTAACTGCAGAACATAAGAAAATGTGATAGGAAGTCATCAGAAAGTTCAAACTGCAGAAAACAATTGAATCATCTGAAGATTTTGTAGGGTAGAATTATTTGGCAGTAAAATGGCAGAAACAAACTCATCTTAAAAGCTGCACAGCCAAACCTTACATGATATCAAAAAATATCTTGAATGTGGGCACTAGAAGGGTCTTAATATAATGTCTCCAAGTTTCTAGAAAAACGAATAAAGAAATTTTGAAGGGGGGTTTACCTACTTTCCAGAAACATGTTAGGCTTGTTATGAATTAGCAGCAAACAGAAAAGCTTAATTCCTGTCCAGAAAGAGAGCAGAATGAAGCCAAAGTTCTCAGCATAGGCTGAAAAGTATTAAATTAGCTGAATAAGAAAATAAATTACAAGAAAAACTTGAATCTTATCTGGTTGAAGAAAAAATGAGTAGCACAAGGATGGGAAGTAAAATGTTGAGGAAGATGGTATTGAATAAGTATCAAAATTTAGAAATTGTGGAAATGTCAAGACTTTGCAAAAAAATTTGAAATGATTTAAAATGTGTTGGTTGATCAGCTTAAAGAAAACAGCGTCATCCTTGGAGGATTGAAAATCTACAAACCTATGTGCAAGACTGGCCATTAGAAGCAGAGGAAGGACAGAGAGAGAAGCTTATAGAAGAGAGTAA